ATATATATATATATATATATATATATATATATATATATATATATATATATATATATATATATATATGACAACATGTGACAAGGCCCAGTTTTAGATTTTTTAATAAAACAAGTAAAGAGATACTTCAAACACCTAATTATGTAGATGTGTTCATTACCTTTAGCTGATGTGCTTCAAATTAGGCCCTTTTTTTCCATGTGTTTTAGAAATAGTTCTGAGATTTCCTGCACTTAATGAACAGAAAGAACACCTGTGTCTAGTCTCTGACCTGCAGAACACCAATCAGAGCTCATCAATGAATTATTGGCTGTTTTTCATCTCAGAGGTATGGATTGTTGGGTTACAACTAGAAATCCTCACACTGCACAGCATTCAGATACGTTATATATACTGCTGGTTAAATTCTTCCGGTACTTAAATCCTAATCTATGTCAGTGAAAACTTAATTTTTTTATTAATTTAACTAAAGCAAGGGGAAACTATTTGTATCTCTGTGACAGTCTGTTGGTAATAAAGAGCTAAAATAAATTTAGATTTTGTAGAGATCCTAATGCAGGCAGTCAATGTCTTAATTTGAAGAATTAATAAAAGACGGAATTTACAAAAGCCCAAGGAGATTACAGAAAGTGAAATTAAAATACTCAGAGTGAAGAGCAGTTATCTTGAGTCAACTTAATAACTTTGTGAGATCAAAATGGCTGAGTTTAGGGTAAGCATTAGCATAATAAGAAGCCCTCATCAATGTCAGGTAGAAAACATGATCGACCATGGCAAAGGGAGGAAATAAGAAGCCTCAAAGTGCTCTTTTCTGACCAATAGGAGTTAAAATATTAATGAAGCCATACTGAGATAACTAAAAACATCAAACAAAAAGACAATGTTGTTCCTGCTACAAGATTTAATGTGTCAGAGATCAGTAGCTGCATAAGCTGGTTTGGATAGACAGCTGAAGTTAGATCCTTTTCACTACACTTATTTAACATTCAAAATGATGTGTTTGTGTGAGTGCATGAAATATGCATCTAGGTATAACCCAGTGGGAGCAAACAGAACATAACAACAAATCAAGATAAACTGTAAAAATCCAGTTAAATCAGGAAAAGTCCAGTTTTTAGGAGCTTTCCTGTCTTGCAAATCAAATGAAACAAAATCTGAGCTAACCATTAATCACAGAGGAAAGAGAATTTTGCTTTATCTCATTTTATCTCACATTATCCTGCACTGCAAATAGGGACACTCGCCTCCACCAATGACCTAGACTTAGAGCCTTAGTTTTATCGACTAAGTTCTAATTGGTGTTCTGCAGTTTTTCTTTCTGTTCATTCTGATGTTTTCCCCCCAAACATCATACATTTAGACATTGTTTTTTAGGCTAAATCTAGTGTGTCTGTCATAGTCTTGATGTAATCCAGAGATAGTTGTTGAAGAATGGGCATTGTTTGGCCGGTCTGATTTTGTCCCACTTTAGTCCAATACTAGATGCTGAAAAGACATCTATTATTACGTGGCAGGTCTCAGCTGAAATGTGCAAAATATTCAAAGTTCAACAGTTCCTGATACCAACCAGAGTTAGTTCAAAGAGCACCTCTTGGTATTTCCAGCTGTCTACAGGCAAGAGGCAGGGAACACCCTGGACAGGTCCTCAGTCCATTACAGTGCACAGCGGAAATGGTCTAGTAGAATTTAATCTGAGCTTTAGCAGAAACAAATACAAAATCTTGGTCAAAGATTGTGATTCTATCCCAAATTAGTCGCTCACCACTGACGTTGTAGAGGCTGCAGTATCTGTTTTCCTTCATTGCAATAGCTATTCTTGTTCCAGGAGGAACGTATGTTGACCTATACAGCTACGGTGTCCAATAAACTGACGTCTTGCAGTAAACCTTGCTGATGTTCTGGGATAATGTTATGATGTCAAAATAGCTTAGCTTGTAACACACCTCACTGTGGTTTGAGTAAATTGTATGCAGTCAGGACTGGTTTTGCTGCATCACTAATATTGCACTTTGCTTTGAACACCGTAAAATGTAATGACTAGTGTTTCAGCTGCTTTCTCCACAGTAATACATTGACAGGTGTCTGAGCCCAGGACATGGCGCAGGTTACATGACAGAGAGGAAGCTAAAACTGCTGACACAGCCTCTCTTTCACTGTAATGTCTTTGTAAAAGATGCAAAATACTTAGACTGTTCTGAACCGCCCCCCAAAAACGAATGCATTTACTGATACATGGTTTTTCAATCTGTAAATGTGTCATTTACTGGGATTTATTTAAAATTTCAATATAGGGCAATAAATTTGCAGTATGCACATACAACAAGATTGTCAGAGTCCAGGTTAGTCAAGAGTTTTTATTTTAAATACCCTTGATTGGGATGTCCCATTTTAATCCCAAGTATTAGATCAGAACTTACCTCATTTTGTTAATTTTCAAAATGTATCAGCGTTTTCCCCAGTTATGATAGATGTATAAACTTTTTGAATACATAAAAATGGAAAGGGAAAATTCAAAAAGTTATACGAAATAATCAAATTTGTGCAAACTTGGGTTCTAATTATTAACCAACAAAGGGAGTGCATTTGTAAAGTTGTACCTTGCTATGTACTCTGTAAGTCTTTATTTAGCTGAGTTATCTCTAGGAAAAAAGTATGTAAATAAATCAAAGTAGACATGGAAAAATTTGCCTTTAAAATAGCTTTACTGAATGAATGGCATCTCTCAGAGGTATTTAGTTTTCCTACATTTACATTCGGTAAAATGTGTGCATTCAGTGATGGGAATTTCCCACACTAATGTATATTTTCTTAACAAAAAAAATTATTGCATTGCATTTTCGAAGACTAGAATTATTTGTGATTAAATATACCCTCTGCTAAGACATGAGGATGTTGATATAGGAGCTAAAGAAAAAAAAAAACTTCCTGCACTGTAGAAAATGTGGAGGTGGGTGAATACAGTGAGCAATATGTAGGAGAAACCAAACAGTTTTTTTTATTTTCTTGTTATAAACCGAAATAAACTTCATATAAGCATAAATATTCATTAATGTTATAAATTGACTTAACTCCAAGTTACAAAAGGATATTTATAAGATCATTTGCTATAATTTTATATTGTCTCACATTCAAAACTTCAAGTAATGCATCTCAGTGTAATATAATACCATTATCTTTTATAATCTGCCGCTAGCCTTTTGATGTAGAAACCATATTCTGAAGTTTGGATGATACCATATAACCATGAATTAATGCTGAGTTTATATTTCTTCATATCATTATGATTGAACACAATCACCTTGTTCTGTTTAGCAGTGCAATTTCACAACTTGGAATACCTGTAGCGTTCAATAGCCTGTTTCATATTGGCATTTTAGAATGATTTAGGGTATCCATTTGTGTAGGTTTTATTTATTAATGTTTTTTCTAAAATTTCTGCAATAAAAGCATAAGCTTTCAGTGTCAAAAATATTGCTAAATTAATTCCTTTGAAATACTACTTGTAGTTTAAGACATTTTGTAAATGAATCAACAAACATGTTTAGAAGCAAAGTAAGCCAAACTGATAATTTGGGAGTTTAGACCAATAATATTAAAGATACGCTAATGGTTTGGGGCTAATTTGTGTTTTATCATCTACATTACTTTGATCATTGAAACGAAAGCTTCCTGGTGGTGATTTAAAAAATTGTATTTATTTTTGTTGCCATTGATGTTGTTTCCTGGAAAATATTGCAGTCTTAAAAACACAAAGGCTGTATTATGCTTAAAGACTAACTTCTACCATGTCTTCTGTCTCTCAGGGACCTATCAGGGTCAGTGGCTGGCCGGGATGCGTCATGGCTATGGTGTACGACAAAGCGTCCCATATGGCATGGCAGCCGTCATCTTCTTCCCTCTAAGAACATCCATAAACTCCCTGCGCTCTGAGCACAGCCACGGACCGCCAGCTGCACTGGAGGATGGGGTGGCCACCACACCCACAGACGGGGTGGTTGCCGGGCTAGCAGGAAGTCCGGTTGGTCGAGGCGGGTTCGCTTTGACGGCTCCAAGTGAGGCAGAGCGGCAGAGAAAGAGAAAAGGTCGATTTAGGCAGTCCATTCTCAGTGGGCTCAAACTTCGTCGCTCTGAGTCCAAAAGTTCCCTTGCCAGTCAGCTAAGCAAGCAGAGCTCCTTCTGTAGCGAGGCTGGTATGAGCACTGTCAGCTCTGCTGCCTCTGACATCCACTCCAACACCAGTGAGAGTGAGCAGGGTGCTCCAGTCGACGCCACTGTCACGGAAATGTATGCCGGGGAGTGGCGCAGCGACCAAAGGGCTGGCTGGGGTGTAAGCCGGCGCTCTGATGGGCTGCACTATGCAGGAGAGTGGTCAGGCAACAAGAGGCACGGGTATGGGTGCACAACCTTCCCCGATGGCACCAAAGAGGAAGGAAAGTACAAGCAGAACTTGCTGGTGAGCGGTAAACGTAAAAACTTGATCCCACTCAGAGCCAGTAAAATCAGAGAGAAAGTGGACCGAGCTGTGGAGGCAGCAGAGAAGGCTGCAGACATCGCCAAGCAGAAAGCAGAGATCGCAATGTCACGGTAAGATGGTCCTAACACTGCATATCCCAAAAAGCACAAGATGTTACAACAACATTCTTAATACGTAGCCAGACATGTAATCTTTAAGCTGGTCTGTAGAGTAGTTCTCTAGGCTTTCTAAAGTTCTTCGGCCCCTTTAGGTGCAGTTAGGTTTTGGTATATCCAACAAACTTCATGACCATTAAAGGGTCCTGTTCTAACAGAGCAGTGGCAAGACCTGCTACATTTGAACAATGCTCTCAGAGTGGAAAAGTTTTAAGCCACTTAGGTCTGGACAGATCTACGTGCGACAAACGGCCAGGTTTGTGTTTCTGAATCAAGGGCTCAATCTGAATACTACAAATTGGTAAGTACTCTTAACAAAATGCATCAGCGCTCACCATAACTGCTGTCCAAATAGTGCTGGCAGGAAAGGATCTAGGGAAAGGAAGCTGGATGCTTCCTATCCATAGCTTATTTAACATAGAAGCTTGATCAAATTATAGCTCCTACCTGCTGTTCCTACCTCCTATTCCTTCACCTTTTGCCTGGTCAACAGTAAGAGCCGCCTATTCCTTCACCTTTTGCTGGGTCAACTGTAAAAACACTATTCAGGATAAGAAAGAAACTCTGGATTGCTATGCAGCCTTCTACCCTATGGACGTCATCAAGTGACGGACATAAAAAATAATGATGCTGGTCAAATTGACACTAAAGCCTTCTGGAAAGAACTACAAAAAAATTTAACTAATTTTGAAGAGGTCACACAGGCACACTCATTGTGATTAAAGTGTCCAAACAAAAACCTATATCATACAACTGACTCCAGCTACGAACAACACAAATATAAATGCAACAATTTTGATTTTGCTCCCATTTTTTATGAAATCAAATATCTAAATGTTTTTCCCAATTACACAATATCACAATTTCTCTGAAATATTATTCACAAACCAGTTTAAATCTGTGATAATGAGCACTTTTCCTTTGCTGAGATAATCCATCCCACCTCACAGGTGTGCCATATCAAGCTGCTGATTAGACACCATGATAAGTGGACAGTTGTGCCTTTCACACTGACTGTAAAACCTGTTTAAATTGGGTTGTATGGCAGTGGGAACAGTTCACTGATGCGTGTCTGGGGACTCAGAAAACTAGTCAGTATCTTGTGTGACCACCATTTGTCTCACGCAGAGAAACCCATCTCCTTCGCATAGAGTTGATCATGTTATCAATTGTGGCCTTTGGAATGTTGGTCCACTCTTCAATGGCTGTGCAAAGTTGCTGGATATTGTCAGAAACTGGTACACACTGCCATATCCACCGATCCATAGCATCCCAAACATGCTCAGTGGTTGACATGTCCGGTGAGAATGCCAGCCGTGCAAGAGCTGGGACGTTTTCAGCTTCCAAGAACGGTATTTCTGTTCAAAATTCCATCAGTAAAATGCGCCTCTGTTCTTCGTCCATAACAGAAGCTTGCCCATACCATAACGCCTCTGCCACCACTGGCCACTCGATCCACAACACTGACATCAGAAAACTGCTCACCCACACAATGCCACACACCTTGTCTGCCATTTTCCCTGAACAGTGTAAACCGGGATTCATCTGAGAAGAGGACACCTCCAATGTGCCAGACACCAGTTAATTTGGTTTGCCCACTCAAGTTGGTTACAACATCGAACTGAAGTCAGGTGTAGACCTTGATGAGAGCAACAGTATGCAGATTAGCTTCAGTTTCTGACAGTTTGTGCATAAGTTCTTTGTTGATGCAAACCGATTGTTTCAGCAGCTGTCCTAGTGGCTGGCCTCAGATGATCTTGAAGGTGAACATGTTGGATGTAAAGGTTCTGGGCTGGTTAGGTTACATTTGGTCTGCGATAGTGAGGCTGGTTGGATCTGTGAAGTGGGATGCATGTTCTCAGCAATGGAGATAATTCAGATTTAGACTGGTTTGTAAACAATATTTGCAGGAATTGGTCAGATCGTGTATGTGGAAAATTTTTAGATCTTTCAGTTCATCTCATAAAAAGGGGAGCAAAACCAAAAATGTTGTGTTTATATTTTTGTTGAGTGTACATAGGAGAACAACGGTTGGTTCACTGATTTACATTTCACTTGAAATATGATTTGGAGGATGGGCCTCCAGGTGCTTAAAAACATCAGCGCTTCAGCTACAGATTAGTCCAATAAAAGCTGCAAAATTTGGCAGACTATTGGGTAGGTATGGAGGAAGATCGGTTGCAATTTTCACAAATACACATATGTGATTCATACATGCACAGGACAAGATCCACACATGCACATCTTGTGCTGTGCATGTATGAATCCCATATGTGTATTTGTTAAAATTGAGACTGATCTAGCTCCATAGATAGGTGTCAAACATTTTTGGAAAAAATGTTTGACACCTGTTTTTTGGTGTCACAAAATGTCAGAGAAATGTAGTGAATGCTTTAAGCTCTTCCCTTTAAAACCAAAAGAAATATTAAAGAGTGTAGATTAGCATGTGTCTCACAATGCACACTTGAAGAATAAATGTAATTTGTAATGGTGAGCTGTGCCTCTACAGCCTTTCAAAGAATTGTGGGCAACCAAACAGCTTCACAGCAGTGGCTAGAAGGAGGTCCCTATGCTTAATGAACTACCAATAGGAAGCATTCCTGCTTCTGCAAACAGCTCCTTCATAATTACCATACAACCTGCACCATTCAGATAGCATTAGGTGTCCTTACGAATTTGAGGTATTCAGATAGAGCCACAAATTTCCTCACGTTCCTCTGTCATGCTTTGAAGATTCACAGTTGCCCACAATCATTTGTGAGACGGAACTTATAAGAACAACCCAACTGAAATTAAACCAAAAAAACATTATTTCTACTTATTTACTCTGTTTGACACATGCTAATGGACACAACATCATATGTTTGGTTTTATTAAAGGGAAGCCTCAGCCATTTGTTACTTTTGTGTAAATAGTCCTTTTTTAAATTCCTCAGAAGGTTGTAGTCTCTATTTGACAAGCATCACCCATGACATACGAAAGGTTGTCCGTATTCCATACAGCAGTCCGGAGTTCCTTTTCAACCCAGGATAGTGTTCTTACTGTTGACCCCATGAAAGGTTGTGTTATTTACACCAACACATTTGGCTTTTGGACTGAATTGTCATTAGTCCAAACAGAAGCTTAGAGTTTTCCTTGTGTTATGGATGGAGAATTCAGTCAAATGCTTCTTTTTTTTTGTTTTAGATCCAGAAGGTTCAGGTGGTTCTTACAGGCATTCTGATTTTTAGTTCTTTCTATAGATTTTCAATTGGATTCAAGTCAGGTAATTAACTGGGCCACTGCAGTTATTTTTATCTCTGAAACTAGCTCAGAGTTTTCTTTTCAACCATTATGTTGAAACCCTTCTGAATTTGTGGTTCTTGCCAAAAATCTCAGTTTTCTTTACTCATCCTGTACCATTTAAGACTGGCCCACACTACGGTAAATGCAGTGACATCGAAATAAATAATTTTGTACATTATCCAAGTATTTCATGTCCCAAATGTTCTGCAGCCACCCTTAAACAAATTTTAAAAGTACTTTTCCTTCAGCAGTGGAGAAGTGTGCAGTGAGTATACATAAAGCAGCATTAGCAGCATTTGTAAATAATATTGTAATTGACAATAATTCCTGCAGGCTGTTGAAAGATACATTATTGTGATCAGAGTTTTGGGACGGTGGCTCGGCAGGGGATTACTGTAGAGATTCATCCTGTAACTAGTAGAATGTATTTATTGCATTTTAGTTGTTAACTCAGACACTTCACCAAACTTGAACAGAGAAACCTGGGGTGATGATTGTAAGGCAGCCTCGTTTCTGTCAGTCTGCCCCAGGGAAGTACAGGCCATTTGCCATTTTACCATTTATCCTAATGCAAGTGTTGAAACATAATAGAATAATATATTTTAGAGCAGTATTTGTGAAGCTCTGGTTGTATGAATTGATACATTTATAGTCAGTAGATTTTTTCAATATAATTTGTTGCTTTTCTCACTATTGCCTTAAATATATTTTATGTATTGCAGTCCGTATTGCCCATCCTTTCCCATGATATGGTTGTTGCATTCAGATGTTTATAATTACATCTTTAACCAATGCCCAAGATGGCGGTAATATTTTTCAAAATGTGATCATTTCATAACTATTAGCCATATGAATGGACAACAAGCCTAAAATATGCTTTTATTTGTAAAAAAAAAAGAAAAAAAGAAACCCACATCATATATTTTCTTTATTTTGTAAATTATGCTCAATTTTCTTCTCATCACAATCTGCTTGTACAAAACTGCCTATTATCATTGATTTAGGGGTCTTACTTGAATGATTTGCCGTGAGATTAGTGAAAAGCAAGCACTGAAAATAAAATAAATTGAAAGTAACAGTGTGTGCATGAAGAGAAACTTGAAAAAATGCTAATTTAAGCCTAATATATATATATATATATATATATATATATATATATATATATATATATATATATATATATAAGCTTTTAATAAAAAAAAAAAGCATGAACCCACATATAGAGAACTAATAGTATGAGAAATGTTGACCTTTATTACTGTGTCTGCTGTCTGGTTAAGGATGAGCCACGCCCGTGGGAAGGCGGAGGCTGCTGAAAGGGTGGCACAAAAAGCGATGGAGGAGTGCCGACTGGCCCGGATAACTGCCAAAGAGCTCTCGCCCTCCTTTCACATATATGGCAATGGTGAGAATACATGCATACGTACAGCTGCTCTAATTACTAAAGCAGTTGTGGGTCCTTCATAGCTCATACACGTACTTCTTGTGTAGTTTTTGTGTCTCAGCTTTAGATATCTATAAAAATGGAAAGCATTTAACTAACATGATTCTCTTTGAGGGGCTGCATGGTGAAGCAGTGGGTAGCGATGTTGCCTTGCAGCATAAAGTTCCGGGTTCGATTACTGGCCTTTGGGCCAGTAAAGGACCCTTTCTGCATGAATTTTGCATCTTTTTCATGTGCATCCGTGGGTTCTCTCTGGGTACTCTGGCCTCCTCCCACACTCCAAAAACATGACTGTTAGGTTAAATGGCTTCTCTAAATTCTCCTCAGGTGTGAGTATGTGTGTGCATGGTTGTGTGTCTTTGTGTGTCTCTGTGTTGCCCTGCGACAGACTTGCGACCTGTCCAGAGTTTACCCCAACTCTCGCATGTAGACTATCACAAATAGGCCCCAGCCTCACCACGACCCTCAAAAGGACTAAGCAGGGGAAGATGGATGGATGGATTCTCTTTGAACACCATTAATTCATGTTGTGAATTTTAGAGGTGTTTTAGTTACACACTGCTTTGGAATGCACCTTTTTAATGTTTGGACTTACTGGCAGGGTTGGAAGTAAAACGATTTTTTTCCAAAGGAAACGCTCAGTTCTGACATACTGTCTCCTGCTAACTTTCCTAAAATGGAACTAGAACTACCCCCTTTATTAAGATCAGGTAAAGCTCCAAATAAAAGTTTGATTCGACCCATTGTCTGCCAGAGATCTACAAAATAAAGATTTTATTAGGTTATTAGGATCACAGTGAATCCAACTGGATATAAAATTCAACCTGAGTAACTTTACAAGAGTGATGGAACAGCCAAGGCACAGTACAGAACCAAATCAAATCGAATATCTGTGGAGTCACCTATAAAGTCCTATGGACAAGACTTCATAAGAGCAGCTGAAAGACACACAAAGGTTTTTCAAACGTATATGTATAAAGGTTTTCTTATTATTTTCAAAAAACATCCTTGTGTGTTCATTTGTTTGTTTTTTTTTAGGATAATTATGTCACATTAAAGGTAAAATTTGGTTATAAATATTTTTGTCTGAGATCTTGTAGTTCACATTAGAATAATCTGTAATAATTAAATTTCCAGAGCTAAATAGTTTTTTTTTGTAATCGGACATGAGTTGTGGAGAATTGAGCCCAGAAAGCACATCCTGATCTGATCATTCGGGAGATTTAGTCATTAAACATGTTCATATGTAAAAACCAAAGTGTTTATTGTCGTGAAATCATATAAAATTAAACCATTTTCTTCAATAATCCTCTATAAATCAGTACATAAGGTTCATTTTGTTGAAGCTCATTGCCTCTTTGCTTCCCTGCATGCCTGTAACACCTTCACACTGTGGGTTTTTCAGTGGATCTTTGCCAAATTAATTCACCGGTCCTGTTCTCCTGCTCTCCTAGGGCTCGAATTTCAGACTCTCAAACACCAGGACGCCAAGGACAAAGACCATGAGGTCATCTCCACAGGAACAGACAGTCCAGAGCTGTGCACTCCGGACACCACGCCACCTGTAATAACACCTGATCTGAGCCCCGTGCTGAGCGTCCCCACCTCGCCCCTTCGCAGCCCGCAGAAGCACGTCCACCGTCCCAGAAACGCCTGCTTCATGCGGCAGAGCGCAGTGGACGATCAGGGCGGGGCTGAAATTCAGGTGTTGGTAGAGGGGCGCGGGATGGACCTGCAGAGGCCGGGTGCTGACAGTTGGACTGATGACTTATATCCTGAGCGGGGAGCCAGCAGCCGCTCAACCACGCCCTCTCTGCTGGAAGAGCAGGAGACCCAAATCAATGGACACGAGCAAGTCCCTCTATCCAATCACAAACCAAGGGAGAAATCCTTGTCCACTCACAAGTCCCGGGATTACAGGGCATGGGAGCACTCCCTTTCCAACCAAAAACCGTCTAAGCATGCCAGCTCCAATCACAAATCAAGAGAATACTCGTCCTCTAATCATAAGACATGGGATCATTCCTCCACCAATCACAAGACCTGTGAGCATGCCTCTTCCAACTACAAGCCACAGGTGCACATTTTATCCAATCACAAGGCCTTTGAACACAATACATCCAATCACAAGGCTTCTGAGCATGCCTCTTCCAATCACAAATCTCAAGATTATATCTCCTCCAATCACCATGTGAAGGACCACATTTCTTCTAGCATCAATCCTCGAGAGCACGTCTACTCCAACCACCATCCTAAGCAGCACAACCCCTCAAACCACAAGCTAACTGAGCATGCTGTTATTGACCAAAGGCTGGATGGTTTCACCGGGGGTTGGACTGCTGAAAGCACCCTCAGGTGGAGCCCCGCCCATTCTCGTCTCACAGAGCAGGACGAGGAGAGGATAAATGACTACACGGTAGACATGAGGCTTCACTCTCCTGATTTGCAGACAACTGTGGGGCTTGGTCAGGAGTCCCCTTCTTCAAAAAACAACCGCCTGCGATCACGGGGCCTTCGGCCGGTCCGGGAAGGTTCCACAGACTCTGTACAGATGCTGGACAACCTGAATGTTGGGCCAGAACTTGAGGAATGGCCGTTGCACAGGGACCTCACCCTCTCCCCTCCCCTAAAATCTCAACCCATCACTCTGGAGCAGGAAGGAGATCATCTCACCATCAAATCAAACTCAGTAAGTCCACTTTCTGAGTCTATGATAACAGACATTATTCATTTTAGGTGATCAAAAACACATTCCACAAGTCTTCTTTCTGGCAAATATACCTAAATCAGGTTCTGCAACAACCTGTTAAGGCACAATTTAGGCACAATTTGTTTAAATTTATTTGTATTCTTACATGGATGTATCCAAAACTATCATGGCCAATAGCAACCAAATGCGTTGATTTAAAAAAATAAATAAAATTAAGTGATTTATGTTTTTTTTCTCTAATCCACAAAGGGTCAACATGATTCATTGATACTAAGGAGTTAAGCACACACTCCTGCTATTTAGGGTTAAATGTCCTTTAGCAATTCTAAAGTATCCTAAGGCAGTTTGAAGTGTGTTTTAGATTGCAGTTCTACTGCAACACCCAAGTGTGTCAATATGACAATGTCATATTGTTTTTTTTTTCATTTGTGGTTAAAGAGAATATCCATCCACATCATGTAATGCACCCGTGCCACTGAATAATAGAGCATTTCCCCCAGCTCCTATCCTAGCTGGGGGGAATGAGCTGCCAGTGTGGGTCCTTGGGCAAGACCCTTCACGCTAATGCCTGCTTTGGGGAGTGGCGGCCTAGTGGTTAGAGCATTGCACTTGGAATCCTAGGTTCTGAGTTCAAACCCCTCTCCCACGGACCGCCACTCTGGGTCCCTGAGCAAAGACCCTTAACTGTACACTGCTCCCCGGGTGCCGCACGATTGCAGCCCACTGCTCCCTAAGGGAATGTGTGAAATGCAGAGAATGAATTCCGTTGCTCTGTACTTGTGCCACTGAAATGACCATAAAAAAATAAAAACAAAAAAACGCTGGAAAAACAATGCTTGGTAAAGTCCTCTTGGATTAGAAACCTCATAATCTCTAGTCACAGTAAGAAAACAAAACCTGGAAAGCACAAAATAAACCAATGAGAGAGTTTAAACTAACTAACCAACTCAACAAAATTATAAAATTCTTATCTTTATTACTCTTAAATGAACTGAGGGAGGGATAGATGTTATGAGGTAATAAATGTAATAAAGAAGGGCTTAGCAGAAAAAGACAAATTTAAGATGTTTTTAAGG